CGTGATAGGACACCTAATAAATTAAATATTGTACAGGGAACTAATAACAACTGTTGCTTATAAAAGTCGGTCTAGAAATAATAAAGAAAGAAAATATATTAAATTTGACTAAGTGAAGAATGATGATAATCAGAATAGTAAAAAATGATGGACACAATATTTAATCTAGAGTAGAGAAAATACGATTTAGTGCTAAAGATTGAGAAAGATGAAGTAATAAAAACATTTGATGAATATACAAACAAATCAGGAGATAAGCAGTTTCAAATGAATACATTCCCGACAGAGTAATGCCCTAGCGACTTTAGACCATCTTGTTCCACACCGGATATACGAGACATCGCACAAATAAATGAAATCTATAATTCTGGATAATTACAAAGAAAGAACCAAACCGTAGGGTGGTTCAAGCAGAATCAGAGTTATTGAATGTCAAGGCAACTTATTCACATAGCAATAGGTCTAACAGAATGTTGATCAAGAGACGTCCAAGAGAGGAATATGTGGCACTAGCTGACTCATTGTTAATCATTGAGGCCTAGGAGGATTGCAGCGTTGCTCTTCAAGTCGCGTAGACTGGAGGCGCTGAATAAGCGCAAAGAAATCATCGTCAGGAAGACAGTTTTGCAGCCTAGTTGTGGAAGACTCACGACCCCCACATTGGCTGGCAGATTGAGGTCGGCTTGCTCGAACTGGACGAAACTGCGATGGCGCTTGGCCAGAGGTAACATGGCTTCGAAGAATGACAGCTGCTGACGGAGGATCTGTCGCTAGTTGGCGCGGAGCGAAGCCTGGGTTGGGCTGAGGAACGGAACTCAGACCGGATGTTAGTGTGGTGGAGGCCGAGTCTCTTGATGAAGAGGTTGTATGAATTGCGGTTCTTGGAATTGATAAGAGGCCGTCGGTGGCATCATAGTTCAATGAAGTTGTCAGACGACAACAATCGGAAGATCTAGCTGCAGGTACAAGCCGGTCCGATGTAACTGTCTCGACTTCATTACAAAAATGACTGGGATGAGCACTCGAAGGGCGAGTAGGCACTAACGGACCAGAAGCAGTCTGCAGTGAGGTTGAGGGCACAAGGGTAGCTTGGCAAAGTCGAGAGGTACGATTTAGGGAAACGGAAAGCGGATCTGGAAGATAGCTACGCTGGTCTTCGATGCGCGTGGCGGTCTGGGGTTATAAAAAAATAGAATGGAAAAGAGGATAGCAAGTATTCAATGATAATACTGTGGTGTGTATGAGTTCAACGTATGATAAAGTGTGCTAGAGCAAATTAGAGACTCCATGCACTGAACAACAGAGCCGGTAAAATCAAGAGCGAGGTTTCATCAAGAGGCTTAGAAACTGATAATAATCCTAGAAGCGCAAGTTAGGCCTATCTGACAATCTATAATAGCGTCGCATTAAGGAGCAGAAGGTATCAGGGACCCATATTGTAAGGAGAAAATTTGATCTAAAAAAATAATTGAAAAGAGTAAACATTTAAAGTGAATTGAAATTATCTTAGTAAATATTGCCGAAATACACATAGCGATTATATGTTTAAGTCTGGGAAGCAAAACTTCAAAAGTATCAGACTTTCAGATTGCTTTAAAGAGTCTTTTTCTAGGGGGTTTGAATTGATCCTTACAGTCATTTGGCAAGTATCACAATTATAATAATCTCGACAAGACATATAAAATGAGACCATGTTGTGTATGAAAAATTAACATGCTGTATAGCCATATTTTATATTTCAGCCCAATTAATCATAGATTTAAATATTAAATCGCTGCGATAAATGGAGTATTGGCGTATCAACAAAATTATGTTGCATTCTATAAATAGTTTGGCTGATTCCTTATGATAGCATTATCGACCATTATGATTAACAATATTAATTAAATATACCATTAATTTAGTGCATATTCTTAGCGGAAATGGTTGATATCAGATTTTCTAAGAAATAGTCAAATTTTTTAGCATAGTAGCAGAGAGCATTAGCGTCGAATTAAAGTAGCTAAGCGAACATTTTCTAGTAATAAGCACACGATTATACGGTTGTCTAGTTAATGGCTAGACACTACTTCTTGCATAAGTATGATTAATGTGGGGAGAGAAAAAAGAAACGAAGACGTTGATTGATTTGAACCCGCTTCATTAGAAAGCAAAAATAAGTGGTTATTTCGCTCACTAGGCTTTCTAATGAAGTTATGCATAGAAGATTCATTATGAAGGGGACTTTCATTTCGTCTGAAAGTACATCAAAAAGAGATTGATAGGTCGAAGAGAAAAGGTTTAACCCAGTTGCATTGTACCCGTTTCGCTTTTATACGACGTTCAGGTTGACGCAGACGAGACCTCTCTCGTTTCGGGTGAAAACGGACTGAGCTTTCGTTCATGATATGATGGACATCATCAGAGCTGGAACTCATTCTTGTAAAAATATAAAGTTAATACTAGGGCAAGAAGACCATCCGGCTCTATCTTACCTCTTATATAGACTAAATTAAACAAAAGAAAATAAAAAAACTAGATATATAAAATGGTTTGGCTAATTATCTTTCATACTGGTTCTGCTACTTTTTCTCGAGGGTATGTGTGTGTGTGTGTCTTGACATCATCAATACACAATACCGTTCTGAATAAGTGTTCAAAAGACTAATACAAAGCTCTGGTGATCAAGACTTAATGACTCAACAAAAAAACCCTGAGTGAGACTGCCTGAATCCATAATTAAATATGGTTGAGATAATGAGATGTAAGCTTGTAAGTGTGCAAGTCAAATTACGAAACGACCTGTCCTCATCTCTCAGTCTAGGGTCATTAAGGTTTAGCTACTCAAGCAAAGGTATGACTGGGGTTGTGTACTATGGTAC